CAAGCATGCTCGGGAGTTAGACTGTGCTGTTCTGAATGGTCTCCTGTGTTGGCTGGCCGCGCGCTCCTCTGTCCCGGTTCGCCCTTGGGGCGAAAGGGGCGAGGGGTCCCCTCACGGCCCTCCTGTCTTTCAGATGAAAGGGGTGAACGTGGAGGCCGTGCTCCGCGTGGAGGAGGACGAGGAGGACAGCCAGAGGAACGCGTCCAAGCGGGAGGTGGAGGACGACCTGGGGCTGAGCATGCTCATCGACTCCCAGAACAACCAGTACATCCTCACCAAGCCCCGCGACTCCACCATGCCCCGCGCGGACCACCACTTCATCAAGGTGCGCCCCCCCGGCCCCCGCCGCCGAAGCCAGCCTCATGGCATCCAGGGCGGGGATGTCTTTCCTAAGTGGGGCACCCGCACAAACTGGATTTTAAATGAAATCAGTATTATAGTATTATAATATAATTCTAAGGAATCAAAGGAAGTGGTATGAGCTGGAGGCGCATTGGTTGTAGACATAGAGACCGTCAAGTCTTGAGAACGAGCATTACAGTTCTGTCAGGCAACAGGAATCTTCCCGATTTTGCGATGGGGGCCCCCCAGCCCCTGTACAGGAGCCCCTCCTGCACCAGCAGTTTGCTCCACTGGCTCCGGAGGGCCTCAGGAGTAGGGAAACCCCCCCCCCCCTCCGGATTGGACCAGTGTGCCTTGGGCCAAAGAGTGCTGTCAGTAATTATTCTCACGCTCCTTTGTGTCCAGTGGGTTTTATTTTGTATGTCTCTGAACTTTTCAGGATATCGTGACCGTAGTGATGCTGTCTCTGCCCTGCGGCTGGCTCTGTACGTCCATCGGCCTTCCCACAATGTTTGGCTACATAATGTGTGGAGTTCTTTTAGGCCCTTCGGGGCTTAATAGTATCAAGGTAAGAACTGGGTTAAATGAGACGCCTACCTCATTCCAAGTGAGATACTGTCTTTAGCACAGTGCGACGTGTGGTTAGCCAAAATATGAAACAAGTACCTCTGTATTCTTATCTAATGAGTGAAGAAAAGTTGTTTAATGTGTATACATGTGAATAAGAAACAGTATAACTAGGGGTCTGCTTGTGATTAATGCTAGGTCTGTGCAATTAACTTGATAATTCTTCACAAAAGTTCTCAACTAACATTAAACAAGAAGACATTCTCCAGATGTTTTTTTCTGCCCTCTAAAGCTAAAAATGCATTTTGTTTGCTGAGAAATAAAAGAGAGGTTGTTACTTTGTAGCTAGTTGATTTTTGACTTCTATTTAGACTCTTCCATTTGTAAAAGTTCACTTCTCTTCCGGAAAAAAACCCTGGAAATTCAATAATTTCTCACCTTTTCATTTCTGTCTCCATTGGTGATGCCGAACTCAATGCGTGTGGCTCCCATGCAGTCCGTAGTCCAGGTGGAGACACTGGGGGAATTTGGAGTGTTCTTCACCCTGTTTGTGGTAGGCCTGGAGTTCTCCCCTGAGAGACTACGCAAGGTATGTTGCACTCTCTTCTCTTCACTCTTTCTAATAAGCAAACTGATGCACAGTGGAGGAGCAGCAGCAGGAGCAGCAGTCAGTTTTACAGAAGAAGCTACAGTAGTTAGGATTGTTCTTTGGGACAACAAAATGAGCTCAATCGTGTGATTTCATAAAATACCAGGTGCTCAGTGTATGACATTTGATCCTCGGATTGAAGAGCTTTTCAAAGCAACATGATTTTAACTAACCAAAGGAAGGCAAAAGATGCAACCATGCCCTCACTGAGTGTTGAACATCAACTGGTTCCTATCAGAATTGCTGAAGGAGGCCTGTCTGTAGCCCTGAGAATGACATGTTCTGCCAGCCACGATTAGGCCATAGAAACCAGGAAACCTACTTTGCCGGCAGCCATATCACTCTGCAACTCACAACTCACTTGCAGAACATGAAGCTAAGCAGGTGTAAGGTTGCTCCTGGATGTGGTATTAAAGGGACCAGTAGGTGGCGCTCACCCTGTAGTCTGTGTGGGTCCTAATGCTCCAGTATAGTGACAGGGACACGATACTGTAAAAAGGCGCCGTCCTTCGGATGAGACATGAAACGGAGGTCCTGACTCTCCGTGTCATTAAAAATCCCAAGTCAGGAAAATGCGTGTCATGACTGTTAATTAAAGCCATTAAAATATAAGGAGAAAAACGTTCCCTTTTGTGTATTCAAATTAGATACTTCAGTATGTCAGGATATGTAAAGAGAGGTGTGGCAGATAATTCGCATTCGTTCAGGAATCTGACAAGTTCCTTGATGAAACCTGTTGTTCAGCCCATCCCTTTGTCATTACTGCTGCTTTGGTTTTCTTTTTTGTTCCTTGCTTGATGAACTCAGACCAACTGCACTGCATTTGAGTGCTGTCGTCAGTACACGCGGAACCCCATTTTACAGTGAAGCTTAGTTTTATTTTGCTTCTAGGCATCATCTCGGACATTAAAAAAAAAAATGCAAATCCAGTGCTGTGAAGATCCCGTGCTAGAAGATCATCAAGAATAAACTAGTGTTTCTGAACTGAGAATGGAGGATGTTGCCAGCATGTCGTTGTTTAAGATAATGTCAGGATGTAATTGTCAGGATGGCCGAGTGGTCTAAGGCGCCAGACTCAAGGTTTCGATGCCTTCCGTGAGCGATGGGTGTTCTGGTCTCCAAATGGAGGCGTGGGTTCGAATCCCACTTCTGACAAGTGTTTAAAGGGCGGAGCGGTGGCTCTGTGGCTCAGGATCTGCGCCTGTGACTGGAAGGTTGCCGGTTCAAATCCCGCGGCTGGCAGAGGAATCCTACTCCGTTGGGCCCCTGAGCAAGGCCCTTAACCCCCAGGGGCGCCGTACAATGGCAGACCCTGACCCCAAGCTTCTCTGCCTGTCTGTGTCTCCTTGGAGAAAAAGCTGGGGTATGCGAAAAGACGAATTCCTAATGCAAGAAATTGTATAGGGCTAATAAAGCAACATTAACATTAAAAGACGTGAATACTATTGTGTTCCATTGACAAGGCGCTATTAGCAACTGCAGGTGATACATGGAGCAGGTAAAGGTTTATTCCGTGAGGAGTGGCTAATGAAGAGGGGAGGACAAAAGAACGAGTCGTTAAGAGGAGGCGGGGAGCGGGGCAGAAGGAGTGTTGCCGGTCAGGGAGAACTGGAAGAGAAGTGTGAAGTCAAAACCTGCAAATGAATAGGGAGGAGTAGGAGGAGACGAGTCTGTCGTTGAGAGACGGGGGAAGCCGTGATCCTCGTTTCAGGATCATTCTGGTTTCACTGGTAGGTGATGTGTGACATGTGTCACTGTGTGATGGCCACAGTTCACTCGCACACTCTTGAACTTGAACTTTATTGCCATATGTAACGGGTACATGTACTGGTACAATAGAATTCTTATTTACCAAAAGTCTTTCGATTGTTAAAAACTAAAACAACTCAAAATGCAGACAATGCATTTAGGCAATATACAGGCAAACAGCAGACAATATACAAGTAAACAAATAAACAGTTTGAATGTAAAGAATGCAAACATGTAAACAATAACTGCAGATGTGCAATAAATAAATAAAATAACAATGAGGTGGATGATGTCAGCGTGGTCCGTGGCGCATGGCCAAGTGTGTTCGCCAGTCGCACCGCTCGTGGGTACAGTAGGAACTATTGAGGAATCTGGTAGTCAGTGTCACAGGGAGAGCCTGCAGACTCCACACAGAAGTCAGCCCAGACACACCTCAGAACCACAGCCCAAGGGCAACGAGGCAGCAGCCCTCACCACCACGGCACCTGGGCACGCCAGGTCGACTCCTGCCCTCCTAGAAGATTGCACGAGGCGAGGAGAGAAAACTGATTTTTCTTTTCTCTTCAGAAGCTTTTAAGTTGGCGGTGACTCAGATCAGAACCACCTGGTTGCCCGTTGAATACAAGCTCCTCCGGGTGCAGCCCCATAGTCCGTTTGCTTTTGTCACCCTTGCAGCTTGTTGACCTACATTTTTGCAAATCTGAGTCACATTTCGCTATGAAAACTAAGCAGCTGATTGAGCTGTGACAAAGAAGCCCTCTTTGTCTCTCCCCGCTGGTTTTGAGTGCATGAGTTGAGAATTTATGTTGCTACTTCTTATCAGTCGGGAATATCGAGGTTCTTTAGTCTTACCTACTGATAAGCAGGCTGGTTGGCACACTGTTGTTACAGGATGTAGCTCTGCCAGTTGTTTGAAAGCTTTGTTTTTTCTAAGTGCTACTGCTGTGTGCATTTTGTCACTCTCCCCCACCAAAAAAAATGAAACAAGTCCTTGCAAAACAAGGTTGTTGTTGCAAAAAGAAAACATATTTGCCGATCTGTGGATTTGGTTCGTGCTTTGATGTGGGAAGCTTTTGAGATGCCTCCTTTGTGCAAGGCAGTATATACTGTAGATCGCTCTGTACAACCTGGAGACCTGGAGTATTTGATCTAGTAGGTCATAAAAAATAAGATCTTGTGTGTTATAATGTTTTCCTTTTTAAACCCCTGGGATAAAGGAGAAGTGTTGGTTTGCAGTGTGTGGGCCATCCTGTTGTTGCAGGGCACATTCAAGCTCTTACTGGTCTTCCTTGAGACAGTAGAAGGGTCCTCATGACATTGTCCAGGAGGATGTGGGGTAGAGGTGTCTGGTGCAAGAGTCTCCTTCCTTTCTGCAGGAAGAGGTGGCTTGAGTCAGGAGAGCACTAGGAGAGCCATTCAAGCAGCAGATATTACACTGACGCTAAATTCGAAACCACCACAGTTTTTTAAGTGCACGGTGGATTGGCTGTTTGCCCCTGGGTCGGATTCTGGGCTTGGACACTTTCTGCGGTGGACTTTTTGTTTTCTCCAGGTGCTCTGGTTTCCTCCTGCTTCCAACAGACATACTGGCCGATTAATCGGGTTCATTATCCTGCCGGAGCTGGGTTCTTCTCCTCGTTGGCCTGCACTAGTCAGAAACAACTCCGGGAATGCCAGCCCAAAATAGTTAAGATAAGGTTAAGAAAAAGGAGGTAAATTTTCTCCTTTTTATATCGGTGTTTTTTGTTTTTTTACTTTCCAGGTTTGGAAGATCTCTTTGCAAGGGCCTTGCTACATGACGTCGCTGATGGTGGCGGTTGGCCTGCTGTGGGGTCACGTTCTGAAGATCAGACCCACGCAGACGGTCTTCATTTCCACCTGCCTCTCCCTGTCCAGCACACCGCTGGTCTCGCGCTTTGTTGCGGGGAGTGCCAGGGGTGACAAAGAAGGTGCCCTCCCTGTTTCTTGTGTCGATCCGAATATAGGGGCGCAGAGGCTGTGGGACAATCCCAGAGGAGACAGCCAGGAGCTGGTATTTGGCTGTGTTGGCTGATACCTAGGCCTCCTGTAGCGTGCAGGGGACAAAATCAGGGAAGTCAGTGTATAAGGAAGCTCTTTTAGTGCGGAGACCAGAACTTTAAAATGATTAACATCTCACTTACCTCAGTTAGACATCTGAGCACCAGTCATGTGTCTTTAAAAGAATGATTTGGGGCCAGCTGATGTAAATTGGATTTAGCGCTACATTACATTACACAGCCGTTTCCCTGAAAGCCAAACTCATGCACTTCTAAACTTAAATCATGGCTTCTCTACGTAACATTTTTTCTGGTTAAATGATTAATTCTTGAGGCACATATTTGATTTACTGGGTCTTTTATGTTTTTGATATTTGATATGTCCCTGGGCGGGACCACGCGTGGGAGTTTGATTCAGCCGATCAGTCACTGGCTCCAGATTAATGTAGCGCTGTGTCTCGGCAGGGGAGATCGAGTACAGCAGCGTGCTGCTGGGCATGCTGGTGATGCAGGACGTTCAGCTCAGTCTGTTCATCGCTGTCATGCCCTCTCTCATCCAGGCTGGGGTAGAAAACGTCGACAGGTGAGAGTCCCATTCAGCCCTGTACCTGCCTTTACACTTCAGGGCAGTGTTATGCAGGTGTAGTCTTCAAGAGCCTGTGGCTTGCAGGTTGTGTGAATGGCTTTCAAAGTCCCCTTTATGTTCATTTAAGACCTAAACAAACAGGTAATTAAATGAGGGCTGGAATGTTAATCTCATGACCCTTTGACCCTACAGGACCAGAGTTGCCCATAGCCACTTCTGATACGCCAGGGGTGCCCGACTCCAGTGCTGGTTTTCAGTCCAGCTTGTCTCTTAATGTAATCGTACTATGATGGGAGCAGTTCCTGCATGAGAGACTGCTGATCTATAAAACCTGCTGGACTGCCGTTCTCCATGGGTTGTGCTAGGCAGCCCTGTTGCATGCTTTTTCTACCCTCTGAAAGGTCGGCACAGTAAATTCTAGTGCTTTTTTGCGGTTTTTCCTGGGGTTGTACAAAGCTTGTACTGTACAGTGCATTAGCTTTGCTTTGCAACAGCTTCCCTTGTTTTGCATCATGTTTTACCAGCCCTTTACATGTCTTTTCTATGGTTTCAGGGTGCTCCACGTTACCCAGCCTTTACCATGGTATGCTGTACCACCATACATGTTTCAGAGTAGCTGCTACACCCACATATAGAGCTGAGTACACTGTCACGGAAGAAAGGGATTAGGATGAGACTAAATAAATTGTTTTCTTTCACTTCTTATAATCCAGTTTATTCTTGCATTTAAAACTTTTTTAATACTGTAT